TTAAAATGTATATTAAATTATAGAAAATTAGTATAATATTTTAAATAAAATAATATTAGCCTTTAAAGAAGCTATTTGTCGATTAACAACTTCGAAAAAATGTACTACTATTGTTATTTTTAAGAACCGGTGTCATAATTATCATTACTATCATTGTCTTCAATGCTGTTATTGCTTAAATAGCTTTCAGAGTCAGAGTCAGACAAGTTTTCGTAATGATTGTCAATATCTATCGAATTTAAAGATCCAACTTGTGAGTTTGCAGAAGAGACGCAAACGTTTTTTTTATTCTAAAAAAAATAACATTAAAATAAAATAAACATAAAAAAAAAAACAATTAAAACGAATATATCGTATTATTTGCTTCCTTTAAAAGTTTTTGGTACCACGTATCAACAATATTGGAGTCAAGTTTCACTGAAAGATAATTTTTATCAAAAATAAGTTCAAGAACAGCCTGTGTCCAAATAGCATTAGCATAGATACGTTCATCTTCAGATATAAAAGCATATTTGATGATTAAAGCAAGAAAAGTATCTGAATTTGGGTCATTTGGATCGCTTGGATTGTATAATTCTTCATAAACTTTCGTGGAATCCTCTTTCCACTTTTTCATTTGTTCTTTAGTATTATATTCATTAAATAGTTTTACCTTACTAATGCCAAAGGTACCCAGAGACCTTTTTTAATTCGATGAACATAGTACTCTTTCTTAACATGATTGGCTGATAGCATCTATAAACAAAGTTAGTATGCAAATTTAAGGTAGTCTGACAATCATTTCTTTTATAGGTCATTTACCCAATATTACATACATAAGTATATATTAATATAAATTGTCACTTGTTGATATCGGGTAAATTAACTGTAAGGGAAATGACCAGCAGAGTAATGAAAATAAAGAATACCAATACTGATATCTGAATAAAATTTTTCATTCCACAACTTATTGAATAAAAATCTCTTTTCTTTCAAATATTGTAATTGCTTATCACAATCTTTGTTATTTTCTAACTTATCTTTGAGCTGCTTTTTCACCTCTTTATTGCTTATTTGCTTATGCTCATGAAATAATTCAGATGAAAGTTGTCTAATTGCTTCCTAAAGTATATACAACAAATAAACATAGATATTAACATAATACAAAAAAGTAAATCTATTTATTAGTTTAATGAGAATCTACTTGAAACAAATAATCTGCTGTTTTCTTTGATGTCTTTTTCCCTTTACTTTTAACCTCAACAGAATTATATATTTCTCAGCGTCATCCAACTTTTTAAGGATATTTTCAAGCTGTAATCATTGTTCTTTTATAAGATATTCGAGTTTCGCATAGCCTCTAGAAAGATGCTTAAGTTGTGATTTATTACTTTGTTCAATATATAAGATCTTCATCAATGTGTGTGAATCAGTAATAGGTTGCTCTATTAAAT